TAACTGAATTTTGAGGGTTTTCTAATTAATTATTTATTATAATCTCAGCAAGAAATGCATTAACTTTTCCACAGTATTAAAAAAATCCCATCACAAAGGAATCCTACAACTGTAATTACCAATGAACTAGAGATTCATTCTTTATATTCTCATCTCAAATTTGAAGTTTATCCTTAAAATTAAAAAATAATCCTATTAGTCTAAAAATCTTTTCAACAAGCTCTATTATATGTTACCAGAAAGGGTTACTGGCATTGCTTATTTATTTTTTGGAAGGGACTCAGAGTGAGGATGCTCTACCAATCTAGATGGCAATGTTTCTGAAACTTACAGTTTTAGAGAACAGTCTGGATCCCCTGAGAAATTAAGTGATCTGCCTGGGGTCATGCACCTAATACATGTCAGACAAAGAACTTAAATCCATTTTATCTTTACTCTAGAAAAAATAGAAAGCCAGTTTTCTATCCACTATGTCATAGTGACTATCACTAGTATTATATTAAAACATTTAATATTCTATAGACAGTAGAGTTCAAATCATTTAAGATTTTCACACTGTAGTTAACTTGCTAGAAGCTATTTATCATCATAATAAAGCATGTTAAATCTCTGATTAATAGTGCAAGTTGCTTTTCCCCCTAGGACAAGAAAAATAGTCTATCCAAATCTGGTCATGATTTAAATATATTATAGAAATACCAAAATACAGGAACACAAATGGTCTTTCCTTTTATGATAGTCTGTTGTTCTATGTATTGTGTTTTTAAAAATGCATCTCCATATTATGTTAATTTTAGAAAATTACTATGGGCAATATGAACTATGGGTATACATCATTATAAAAATAAAAAATTTTATCTTTCTTTGAGAAGTTTCTTATTTTTAGTAAATAAACTAGTTACAAACTACTTAATAGTAGCGGTTTTACATACAGGTACTAACAGAGTTCTAAATTTGTTCTTTAACATTCCTCTCCTAATTATCTATAGCATTTTTTGAAGTAAATTTATTTCAGTGAACACTAACCTAAGACATTTTACAAGAGAAGCTCCACCTGCAACAACCATTAATTATCTTTCTTTGAAAGGTATTCCACTGCCTACATTCCATTTTATGATAAACGTATTTTGCTCAGTGGGTACTTGCTCGTCAGTGGAATTGCTGTGAATTCTTTACAGCAGAAGTCTGAAGTAGTTGGCCAATGTTTCGCAGGTTAGTAGTGCACTCCCTCTCTTTAGGGGGGACTGTAAAGATTTACTGTAATGGTATATATGGTAAGGTCAATAATATGTTTAACACTGCTGTGACTGATGTTTTATTGAAGATCAAGGAAAATAATGCTGGCTGTAGATGGTGATTTCAGAAACCACTCTTCAGCTCTACATGAGCTGTTTCGGGTAAGATGACAGATTGCATTCCCCTGAAAGTTGGACAACTTTTTCTCCAACTTACATCTAAAGAATAGTTTATTCAAGATTACATGTCTATATTCCATTTTCAAAGGCGTGGACTTAGAGAAACTATT